ATCTTCCCTCTTCATTCTTCATCTTCCCTCTTCATTCTTCATCTTCCCTCTTCATTCTTCATCTTCCCTCTTCATTCTTCATCTTCCCTCTTCATTCATCATCTTCATCCTTTCATCCTACATAACAATGAGTGAATTTTCTTATATATTTCAAATCCGCATCATTCCATCATTTTACAAGCCTCCTCCTCAATTATCTTTATCATCACCATCACTATCTCCTCTTCTTCTTCCTTTCATCGATAATAGTAAAATATTTAATGATAATGTCGAAAATAATCACGACAACAACATCAACAATGACAACATCGTCAAAGTTAACACTAATTCACCACACCAATTTTTTCTTATGACCATCAGCATCATAATCATCACCATTTAAACCATTTAAAGCACGATAATAAACTTGGTAAACCTCCTTCACCAATTCTACCCTCTATTAATGATGATTTAAATTTTGGAAATAACAATAATAATATTATTACAACTTCAATAACTCCTTCTCATCTTCCTTCATCATCTTCTCCTTCACCATTACCTCCTCCTTATTCTAAATTTTCAGCAGAATCAACAGGTAATAATAATAATAATAATAATAATTCAAACTCAACAAAAAAATCCAATAGTAATAATAACTTGCCCGATTTTGAGGAATTGACAAGAAGATTTGAAGCACTTAAAAGAAAATAATTATTTAATGGACATATATGTGATTTTTTTGTATTTTTTATTATTATTTATTTTGTATTTACACATTTGTTTTTTGTTATATTAGTATATTGAGAAAATAGATAAAGTAATTTCCATTATTTAAAATTAATTAATTAATTAATTTGGATACAAAATAAATTATTTTATAAAATGATATATATAAAATATTAAATATTAAAAAATGATTTAGAGACAAGGATAGAAAATGAATAAATAAACAAATAAATAAAATTTTAATATATAAATATGTACTGTACAATTAAATAAATAAAATTTTACATATTAATATTATATAAATGAATAATAATAATAATAATTACTAAGCAGCAACTAATTGTCTTCTTTCTTTTCTAGTTTCTTTTTGTATTGATGATGGTTCTACATGTTTTAAAAATAATTGGATAATGAATGAATGAATGAATGAATAATAATAATAATAATGAATTTGGTTTAGTAATTGTAAAAAAAATAAATTTTTGATTATAAAAAAATAATTAGAAATTACCTTCTTCACTCAATTCTTCTTCTTCTTCTTCTGATTTAACAGGAACAATAGGAATTTCTGTAGTAGGAACATTTGGAAGTTGCTGAGCAAGCTGTAAAGGGTAAAAGATAATAAATATAATTAAGTACATTTAACAATTAATAAAAAAAAAAAAATCATAAAAATTATGAAAATTTAACTCACTTGATCCGCTGTTATTTCTTCAAGTTCTTTCAAGATTTCATTTTCATCTTCATTTGTTAACTTCCCACTTAACAATTCAGAAATTTCCTATTTTCAATGAATATAAAATTTCTGAATAAAAAATACTCAAAAAAAAAAAAGAATGAATGAATGAATGAATGAAAAGAAAATTATATTTTTTACATTTTGATAAGAAATAGCATCTTGAGTATCTTCCAGTAATTTATCCACTTTTTCAATTGACATCTCTTTATTAAGTTCCTTCAAAATATTATTTCCTGCATCTAATTTACTTAATATGTCCTTTTCTATTAATGCGAATTCTATTGATTGAGTCTTTTTTTTAGAATTTTAAATTATAAAAATTAAAATTTTTTTTTTTTTCGATTTTTTTTTAAGAGAAAGAGAGAAAAAGAAAAATATTTAAGACTAACCAATTCTTCGAGGTTCATTATTTGAGTTTCAGTTTTTTCTGATAATCGTTGCTGATATTTTTTCTTTTTTAAAGCCAAAAGAGCGCCACGTTTATTTCCTAGACGTAATGCTTCCCTGGCAACTTCTGTTGCTTTCTCAGACATACCTAATATCTTGAATTTTTTTACATTAATAAAACGAAATTAATGAAATTGCGAAAATGATATTTAAATATATATATTTTGAAGAGTAGATACCCTTTTTTGTTTTTGCTTCAACTTGTCTCTTTGAAGCTTCAGTTCAAGAATGGTTCGATCATGAGAAGTTATTTTGGTATTCTTTACACCCATGGTTATTATAATAATAATAATAATAATAATAATAATAGTGGGAATAAATTGTTAAAATTGATATAAAAGTGTATGATTGAATTACAATTTAATGTTTAACTGTTAAGGTTGCATTTAATCTTTATTGTTACACAATGATAATTATTTGATGAATATTATTACGCGATCTAAAAAAATTAGTTAAACGTGAAAATTCTAGTTTTTAACCATCATGGATCTTTTCATAACTCATGATCTTCAGACCATAGAAGAACCCTTCGATACTTCATTAGATACGTATACAGTAGATTCCAATGATATTAATACTTCAATTACACAAGTAACCCAAACCCAAATAAATCAAGTAAATCAAATAACCGAGTCACTTTTGAATTCGGAACACGATCATCTTTATCAATCTGTATCAGATACAAGTGGACAAGAGATTTTATTAAATCTCTTGACAAATTCTTTGTCAATACAACAAAAGGAATTAATAAATAAGGAATGGAGTAAAGATTATCTAAATCGTCTTACATCACTTCCTTTTGAATCACTTAAACATGAACCAGCATTAGTCATAAATGAAGAATCCAAAATTCAAAAAGAATTGGCGGAATTATCATTTAGAGAATATAAATCATGTATTTATGCTAATACTTGTTCAACTGAAATTAATTCATCACTTGATAATTTAAATACACGTTTATCAGAATTAATATCTACCATACCAACCTTAGAAAATTTATGTACATCATTCTCTCAACAAATAACGCAAATATCACAACAACGAAATAAAATTAATGTAATGATGGAACAACATGATAATTTATTGGAAATTTTAGAAATTCCACAATTAATGGATATTTGTGTTCAAAATGGATATTATTCGGAAGCAATGGATTTATCGTCACATGTTTCTAAATTAATTTTAAAGTATTCATCAATTCCATTAATTCAAAATATTGAAAAAGATGTTAAACAAATTATGCAATTAATGTTATCAAAATTAATTACTCTCTTAAGTCAACAAATCAAATTACCAAGTTGTTTAAAAGTGATCGGATATTTAAGACGGATGGAAGCATTTGATGAAGCAGAGTTAAGACTCATATTTTTACTTTCAAGGGATACATATTTAAAGTTAATGTTACAATCACTTGATAAAGAAAAAAAGGATCCCGTTCATTATTTGAAAAAATATATTGACGTATTTAGGGAACATTTTTTTGATATTATCACACAATATCGATCAATTTTTTCGGATGATGGAGGAGTAACATCAATTTATTTATCATCATCATCTTTTACATCACCTTCTTCTTCATCACCTTGGATATCATCCCCAATATTTGATAATAATAATAATAATAATAATAATAATAATAGTAGATCGGATGAACGAATTACTTTAACGGCGACAACAGCTTTGGCAGATTATACAATTCATATTCTTGAACAATTGACTTTAATTCTTATCGAATTTACACCTTTAATTTCGGATACATCATCCCTTTCATCTATTTTAACTCAACTCATGTATTGTGGAATGTCACTTGGTAGAGTTGGAGTTGATTTTAGACATTTAATAACAGAATATTTTGAAACAGCAGTTGATCGTATAATATCAAAGATGATTTTTGATGGAACACAAGAATTTTGTGATGATTTAAAACAAGCTATTAAAAATATTGATTTACCAAGTAGATGGATGATAGGTGATAAGAAATCAACTAATTTATTAGAACTTAGATCTCAATTAACTTCAACTTTATCAACTTCTACTTCTTCAACTTTACCATCTTCATCATCATCATCATCATCATCATCATTTACACCTTTAGTAATTCTATTGGATTATCCACCACTTGCTTATTTAACAAATGCATATTTATCAACATTTAATGCATTACGATTAGTAGCTCCCGTATCTTTATTTTATTCACTTGGTGAACAAATTTCACAAAGTCTTTTATTAATTTCAAATTTATTACGTGATTATGGAAATATTTTAATTCAAAATGATCATGATATTACAATTCTATTGGGTTTTAATGCTACATTTTCTAAAAGTTTTGTACCATTTATTTCAAGATGTTTTATTGAAGGAGTTTATGGAGGAATGTTTGGTGGTATAGATCAAGTTGAAATAATTGATAATACAAAAATTTTGGAAAATTTAAAAGGTTTTTTACCTACTCCAAGAATTCCTTCTATTGTAAAAACTGATATAAAAACTGATGATACGAAAACTGATGATATAAAAATAGATGATAAAAAAACAGATATAGAAACAGATATAGAAACAGATATAAAGACAAATGAAAAAACAATTGAAAAAACAATCGAAAAAACAAATGAAAAAACAGATGTGATGAACATTGAAGATAACAATATTAATACTTTAGGTAAAGAAAAAAAGAATGAAGAAATAGATCTAAAAAGTCAAGAAAATCATACTAATGAATTATTATCTATTGAGGATGAAAAGACAGAAAATATTATAGATTTACAGTTTAATCATATAAATGAATCCAAAATTGATTCAAAATCCAATAATGACTCTACAGAAAATACAGAAAATATAGATAATACAGATAATATAGATAATATAGAAAATATAGAAAATGAAAAGAATGAATAATAATAATAATAATAATAATAATAATATATATATTTTCATATAGAATTACATAATAATATATTAGTAGATAATGATTAATACTTGAAGAAGATCATTAAGGATTATTTTGGGAAATCAAAATAATCTAAAATAATCTACAAAAAGAACAATGTTTTGCGGATCAATCATTCAATTTTTAGGTAACGCTTTACAACTTCTAACTAAATTTGAATAAGGGCTAAATATTTTTTTATGGGGAAATCGGTCATATGCAAAGGTCCCAAAATTGTATAATGTGTACTTGGGAGGGGGAGGGTATCTTTTTGATACCCGTAATTTTGGTTCCCCCTTTAAACATTAATTCATTTTATTTTTTATTAATTTTTATATAATTTTTTTTATTGATGTAAATTTCTGAAAATATCCATATTTCGGTAATTTTTAAAAAAATAACCCGAACCGTATCAAAAATGTAACTTTTGCAAAATGCAAGCCCTATGCACATGTTTGATTATAAGGATTATAATAAATATTTAAATATTTATATTGTTCTATTTAGTTTTAGTTTTTTTTTTTTTTTTTTCTAATTACTTAGAAAATTAAACATGGCCGCTACCGTAATGAGCAGTTCAGTTGGGGTAGTGGATGAAACAGAAATAGTTGAATATACTGAATATACTGAAGTCACTGAAGAAGTTGTTTTCGAAGATATCGAACACTTAGATGCTGTTAAAGAAGTTGTTGAACCTGTAAAAATTTATAATAACGAAACTTCCGTGAACATCAAAAACATTGAAAAAGTTGATGAGTTGAAGTTAATGACTTCAATTGATGCTGAAAATATTGAAAATAATGAAACTGCTGAAAATAATGAAAATAATGAAAATAATATAGAAAAAAACACCGAAAATGGTTTGAGTACAGGTCTCGAACAACCCGAAGAGTACGACGTTGAACCTCATCACGAAAATATTTCTGTGTCCGAGGAATTGGAAACAAAGGTCGAAAGCTGTTCAGCTCATCCAGCAGAACCATTGACTCCTCCCAAAAGTCCTACAGATGAAAAGGACAAAAAAAAATCAATCCCTACTAGCATAAAGGTACCCAAACCTTCCACGACACCATCCAAATCTAGTAATATTGCTAAAAAAACTACAACAGCTACGACGAATGGTGTGAATGGAGCCCACCCAACACGTGCTAGAAGAACATCAATAAGCAAATCAAATCCGCCTACACTGACCAAACCTCCAGGTGCACGTTCTTCAAGTACTTCTAGAGCAACCACTTCCGCATTAAAGCAACCCAATAGTCCTACTCTACAAAAAACACCAATTACTCATAATAAAACTAATTCAACTGCAACTCCCGCAAAAACTTCGGCACCATCAAAAGGTCCAACCAAAACTACCACTTCTACAAAAGCTATTAATACCACAACTAAAACTACTCCTTCAACCCTTACCCCAAAACCATCATCATCTGTACCTTTATCAAGAAAGGTTTCATCAAATTCTACTAGTTCTAATACTAGTGTTGCCTCTAAAAAATCTCATGTTGCAACGAACACAACAAAATCTCCCACTTCTACAACACATAAAAGTAAGACAAGTACTTCTTCTTCAAATACTACCAAAAGTGTTTCACCAAAGAGTGCTCCAAAACAAAACGGTGTAGGAAAAGCATCTACAGCTGAAAGTGATTTCAAAGTAAAGGTTGGTTTAATATTTATTTGATTGTCAATTCACAAGAGATTATTATCTAAATTTGTATAATCCCCTATGAGTTAATGGTCAAATTCACGAATTATTGTTTAAATTCTTCTAAATCATAAATTTATTTTAAATTTATTATTATTATTATTATATTATTATTTTGACAGAATGAAGAACTTACACGTCAAATTGAAGAGAAAGATAATTTATTGAAATCTAGTCAAGAAGAATTGGAAATTCTCAGAGCACAATTAGTGAAAGGACAAGATTCAGCTAGTGAATCTGTTGAACAACAAGTTCAACATTTGGAAGAATTGAAAAAAGCACATGAAGAAGAAACTTTAAAGATGCAAATTGATAGGGATGAAGCCATTCTAGTTAAAGAAGCCGAGATTGACTTACTTAGTAAAGAGGTTAAAAGGTTAAAGGAAGAGTTAAAAGTATGTGTTGATAAAATAATTTATTAATCAATGTATTACATCATCATAATATATCAGAAATGGTATTCATTAAATTAATTTAAAAAACTTTTTAATATAGAATCTCAAAAAACAAGAAGAAGAAGAAAGAAAATCTTTAGTTGTTTCAATTCAAGAAGAACACGCTAAACTTATTGAACAAACAAAAAATTCCAGTGCCGAAGAAATTGCCCAATTAACAGAAAAAGTTAAAAATGCAGAAGCCATCGCTGAGCCTCTAAAGGCTGAATTAGAACCTCTAAAGGTTGAAGTAGGGACTCTAAAGGCTGAAGCAGAGACTCTAAAGGCTGAATTAGAGGTTTGTATTCATTATCTTGAAACTACAAAAAAAAACACAAAGATATTTATTCTAATATGAATTATTGTTTTTTTTTCATTAAGGCATTGAAAGAAAGACAGAAAGCAGAAACGGAAGAATTACAGTTACAACATGCAAATGCTATAGAGCAAGCTAAAGAACTATCCAGAGAACAAGCGATAAATGAATTCAAGGTACAAATTTGCTTTATTATTTTATTATTATTTTTTTTTTGTCTTTTTTTATAATTTCTCAAATTAATTTCTTGAATTAATTCCAGACTGCTCAGGGAGGTAACGTTATTGCAGTCGAAACATTAAAACTAAAACATTTGGATGAAGTTGCAGAGCTTAAGAAAACCCATTCCCAAGAATTACAAGATCTTAAAGATGCGCATGAAGAGGAAATTGAAAATGCTAAGCTTGAACTTCAGGTATTTTATGCATATATTTATTCAATTTGTCATTTTTAAAGTATAAAAAAACCTTCATAATTTAACATTTTACGTATTACATTTTATATAGACACTTCTTGAAAAACAACATTCTGCTAATGTAGCAAATATCGAACAAATGCACTATAAAGAATCAAAATCAATTAGATTTAATCTTGAATCTAAATATGATGCAGTTCTTCAAGAGCAAGCGGCTTTGAAATCTCAGCACTCTCAAGCTATAGAAGATCTCAAAAACCACCATGCACAGGAAATTGAGCTTCTCAAATCATCGGCGGATCAAGAACTTGTACAAAAGTTTGAAGCTCAAATTGCGGAACTTAAACTTCAACATGAGAATCAATTGAAAAGTTTACAAGTTCCTAACGCGAACTCGGAACAACAATGCGAAAGCGAAATTACAGAGCTTAAAGAAAAATACGAAACTGCCATAAATGATTTGAAGGCTAGTCATGAATCTCAATTATCTCAATTGCAAGGAACTAATTCTGTTGCAGGAGAATCATTTACCAAGGATATAGAAGAATTGATGGTTCGTCATGCTAAAGAGATTAATGATTTGAAAGCTTCTCACGCCGCTGAATTACAACAAAAAATCGATCCTTCGGTTATTGATGAATTGAAAGCTTCCCACGTAAAGGAACTTGAGGAGTTACAAAAAACCAAAGACGAACTTGTTAGCGAAATTGATCAAATTAATGCATATAGCAAACAGTCCATACATGAGCTTCGTGAATCTCATAGTCAAGAATTACAAGAGACGATCACAGCTCTTGATAAAGAAATAAAAAAGAAAGAACAAGATCATTTAGAAGAGATTAACCAGCTCAAAAGTCAACGTTCTAATGTTGAATCAGAAGCAATAGAAGTTAGTGTTCATTCAAATTATGACAACTGACTTTGACTTATGGTATTATTTATGGCATTTACTTATGGAATTTCTATTTCAGGATTTAAAACTAAAACATCAAAATGAAAAAGATACGATGCTTAACCAAATTGCATCATTTAAGAAGCAAATTAAAGATTATGAAGAACAACTTAAGGTATGTATCGATGGGTATTGATATTTCAACTTTGAAAAAAATTGATGTTTTCTTATTTATTTATTATTATTAGGAAATTACCGAAAATATCAACTTACTCACGAAAGATCTTGAAACAGAAAAATCAAGCAATGAGTCCAAAATAAAAGAAGTTACTGAGGTTGGTATAATTAATATTCTTTTATAATAAATTCTTTCTTGTTTACCTATTTTCTATTTTCTATTTTATTTATTCTATTTTATTCTGTGTTGATTATAGTTATATGAAGAAGAAATTGCACGAATGAAAGCTACTCATGATGAAGAGATGGAACAAAAATTACATGAATCTGTAAGTTTTTTTACATATGATTCGGTTTAATGATTTCGTATTTCATATTTGTATATTAATAATTTTTAATAATTTTAATCATGAAGAGCATCAAAGATAATTCTTCTCTTGAATCCTTACATATTGCACATAAACTTAAGATTGCTGAGCTTGAAAAGGTCCACGCACAAGTTCTTGAAGAAAAAGAAGAACTTCTAAAGTCTAAATCTATGGAGAATAGGTGGCTTGAGGAAGAGAATGATCAACAAGACGTAAGTTGTTAATAACATTAAAAAGAAGATTCCTTTTGAATATTTATAATAAAACTTTATTTCTTTTTTAACAGGCCAAAATAGCAGAGCAAAATAAGGAAATCGAGAAATTTAATATTGAAACTCAAAAACATAGACTTGACCTGGATGAACTCCGCAAGGAAAACGAACTACTGAAGGCTGAAAACGATCAAATGCTCAAGTTGATTCATAAGCTTCAGGCAGAATTAGTTAGCCATCAGTTGTAATTTTTTTTTTTCCTTTGTTATGTAAGTTGAAACAAAAAGAAGAGAAATATTTGATGCTATGTTGAAAAGAAATTTATTTTTATTTTCTTCTCTTTCCATTACACATTAACAACAACGACTTTCTATCCTTTTAATATCTTTACAAACATTTAAATTTATTTTTACATCGATCATTTTTAGCATTTTTAGCATATTTTATAATTGTGAAAACAAAAACAAAAAAAAAGGTGCCAATTCAAAAATGCAAGTGAGCCAATTCTTCGATTGACTCGTTAATCGACTATTAATATTTTTATTATTATTATTTATTATTATTTACCTATCTATCATGTACTAGTTAGTTTTAAGTGGTGTTATATTGTACATTTATTTGGGTTTATTTTTTTTTTTATTATTATTATAATTATTATATCCATTATTATCTTCTCTTACTTTTATTATTATTATTTTTTTCCTTATATTCTTGTAAGATGTACATTTTATTCATTTATTATTATATTGTACTTAAGCATTTTTTTTTTCGGGATATTCGATTATTTAGTTTGGGTGTAATTTATTTTCCCTTTATATCTTTCATAAAAAATAGTGAACTGTGATGATTTAAAAATTATTATATATTAAATCATTATTTTTAAATTATTTATTATTAATTATCACCAAATAGTATAACGTTTGAATTTCTTATTATTATTACATATTTTAAATATAATAAAATATAATAAAACATATATATTCGGAATTTCAATACAATATTGATACATTTCAATTTGGCTTTACAGTGATCATCTATATTTTGCATATCCAGGAAATCATCAGGCAAAAACTCCAAAAAAAATTAAAATAAATTGTTTATTTCAAAATCAAAAATAAATCACGAATAAAAACATTGTAGATCGTGCAATCTGATAATTATTACGATCATAATATTTTATAGATTTTTTTTTTATACACGAGCTATTTTATATTTCCCAATTATTCATATCAATAAGTAATTAAAGTATTCGCTGACAAATAATTCAATGACCACATTACAAGAACACCACTAAATCTAAATCCCAATATATACACAAGTTGGTAAATGAAACTTTAATTTCATCTTTAATCATAGCTCAATTGACGAGGGTATCTGCAATGTCTTGATGGAGATAGTGAAGCTATCATCATTATGATCATTAGGTATAAGAGAATCATTCGGGCTTTTTTCCAGTTGGGTTTAATGTTGAATTATTAATAATATCACCAATATAGTTTTTCAATAGTGAAGATCGTGAATATTTTGTCGGTGATTTTTTAAATTCTTCGAATAACTTGAAATAGTCATCTAAACCTCTCTGTATAAATAATAATTAGAATAAATTTTTTAATTCAAAGGAATACATTCAAATTTTTACTCACCCCAAATTCCATAAATTTCTTAATGCATGTACTAATTCGTAATGTTCATCCCAATTAAATTGGCAATTAAAATGTACCAATTAAAAACATTCTATAAATCTTTGAAACGAGTATATCCATTCCCCATACTTGCACCTCTTGTCCTGTATACATAAATAAAAATAATTTACTTTGTAAAATCAAAATACAGAGTTTATATACTTACTTACCAGTACATGAAAGAACCATGTACGTAATTTTCTTAAAATCTTATAATCTCCTCGATTATATTTTTTCCCCAATAACCTTTGACATGATCTTTTATATATCGGGGCATATCTGAATTTAGATAACCACCTGAGAACTCCACCATTCCAATTTCAACTCCTTTCTCTCCCAGAGTATGAAATATACCATCAACTTTCATACCCAAAGGATTGTCATCTTCGGGTTTTAATATGCGCCTTATTAATCTTTCATTGGCACTAATATAAGATTCTAAATCACTTAAATCGCTTAATGGATCAAAGTCCAAAATTACATTATCATCAATATTGATCTCGTCATTAGGCTCCAACTCCTCTAACTCAGTTGATTTTATATTGCTGTTGTTATCTGAACTTCCATTTATTTCCAAATTTTCTTTAGCGGCATCAAATTTTCTTTTCAACTTTTTTTGGTTGGATGGCGTGTGCAATTGGTTCTTCCTTTTCCCGTAAATAAATTTGATGTTATCACTTTTTTACCAAATGACTTTAATAATATTATATATAAATAATCATATCAACTCCATATTGACATTTTTCATGATATTTCTCACACCAATTCAGTTCCCTGTACCATAACACGTGTTACTTTTACCTATAATTCAAAACAAAATCGTTAAATATACAACTATACTAAAGATAGATAAGAAATACTCCAATTAGTCAACCTGATCTAACTACAGTCGTTGTTTTTCACTGGTATATTGATTGCTCAGGCACTCATCTTCAATTTCATCCATAACCGATTAACATCTGCATTCTTGTTTCGATGGTTCTACAATAATAATACATAATTTGTTACCATTTTTATGATTATAAGACAAAAAACCCACTGACAAAACAAACCACAACGGGATCAAGTGAACGACATAAGGTGAGCGGGACGCAGGCGCTCATCGTAGTTGTGTGAGTAATATCCCCTCTGGAGGGCCTACCTCTACAAGAGAGACCATATGATATAGTCAAGCTTGTAGACCACAACGGAATCTAAACGAACGGCATAAAGTAAAAGGGACGCCGTAATTGTGGAAGTATGCTTTCTCTTAATAGACCTCTATATTGCCTGCCAGTGGTGATCAAAATGAAATTTAAAAAAAAATTGCTTGCCTCGAAAATCTCGGGCCTTTCGCTTCTCCGGATCCGAACCATGTTCCGCCAAATATTCCAAGCACTTGTAGCCTCTAGACGAAAATTAAATGCAAAATCTTTTTGGCCTCTACGATACTGGTAACAATCATAAAACTGATATTTCCTTGGTTCGGTTTCTTTGAAATATTCAAGAGGATGCTTCTCCATGATACTTCTATTATTCGTTATAAACTACTTATAATCGGGCAACAAAAAGAATAACTTACTGAAAATTGATTTATAAAAAGAAAATCGCGTAAGTGAAAGCTCTAATTTTTGATATCGATTATCAGAAGTTCCTTGTTTCACAAAATTTTTCATATTTGCAAAAAATTATATCACCATTTACAAATTTTTGTTATTCAGAACCAGCTGAATAAAAACCCCAACCTTAATATATTAATTTCGCCGAAACAATATATTGCTAGCATATGTTTAGATTCTTTAACTTTGGTGGTAATAATAATAACCCAGAAGACAACCAACCTACCTCAGACAAAGATTCACCCTCTGAAAACTCCGAGTCTGACCAACTTTTTGCCGAAGCTAAATTACGTTTATATAAAAGCCGTTACGAACGTTACCTACAAGAAGCTTCATCTGAAGAGACTCTAACCCCAAGATTTCGAGTCTTATTGTCATTTCCTCGACTTAACCCAACTTTTAGAGGAAGAATTAAACCAAGTTCGCGCTCAGGTCGCTCAAGAACTTGTTCAAAGGCAATTACAAGAAGTCCTATCGAGATTAGCTGCATCATCACAATTAACCCTATTAGAAACCTCAAACCCATTCGAACCTACATCTATCCAAGAAACCCCACAAACTTTTAATTATAACGAGGAAGAAGAATATAACCCTGCACATATTTTTCCTGAAGAAGTTTATAGTGAACAAACTTTCGTAACCCAACCCCAATTTCCACATTTGCCGTGAGCCGCAGCAACCGATCGAAGAACCTCCAACCCTAACTTTATTTCCTACTGCTCAACCCACCTTTCGAACCTTCTACAAGTAACCTACCCCCAAGAAGAAACTTTTGCTGAAAGCAGTAGAAGTACATCACAGCCCGTTGAAACCCAACAATTTATTATACCCCTCAGTGACGATGACGAAGATGCTGCCCCTGAAGAAACCCAAGTAATAAATCCCGAACCAACCCACGAACCAGCGAATCTAGAACAAGAAGCAGAAAGTGTACTCGCTACCCTAACTAATATTCTTGGAAATCTCAGACCAAACCAATCAGAAACCCAAAACTTACCTGAAAACCTTTTCCAAAGAACTGCCGATCTTCCAAGAACCCAAGAAGAAATCGAATCCATCCATCAACAAGAAGAAGCCCTTCCAGAGATCCAACCTACCGAAAACAATCCTGAGAATAATGATAATAATATTTTTAATTTTGATAATTTATTTAATTTTTGGAATCAAGAAAATAATAACTTACCTGATCTCAATTTATTTAACGCCGATCCCACCTTTGAAGATCTTGAAAATATAGATAACGTCCAATTTAATGCATTAGTACAAGCTTTAAATGGACTAACCACTTAACTGAATAATAATGCACCTGCCCCTGCTCCTACTTTACCTGTAACCATTCCACTTTTCTATGGTCGTCCATATGAAAATGGTTCATATCTCTTGAGAATATTTTTACCACTTGAGCTATTATAGAGTATGTATCTAGAATTCAATATGCTGCCACAGGAATGAAAGATGCTGCTGCATCTTGGTGGATGAATAAACTGACAGCTGAACCTGATATTTTTCATGAATATCTTGATGAATTTGGGTCATATATTTAGATGACATTTTAATATACAGTAAAACAAAAGGAGACCATTTGAAACATTTGCACAAAGTATTATTAAAACTTAGAGAACATAGATTATATGCCAAATTAAAAAAAAATATGAACTATTCAAAAACAAAGTTGAATATCTTGGACATTATATATCTGGTAAAGGAATTGCTGTTGATGAAAGGAAAGTGGAAGTAGTTAAAAAATGGTTTAACCCTATCAACTTAACTGAACTTAGATCATTTTTGAAACTAGCTTTGTATTATAGAAAATTTGTAAAAAATTTCTCTACCATTGCCACTTCTTTAATTACTTTATTATAAAAGGATATACCATATGAATGAAAATCAAATCAATAAGAAGTTTTTGAACCTTTACACCTGTTTTACTTATTTCAGATCAAACTAAAATTTTTACTATAACTACTAATACCTTCAACACTGTTATTGGAGCTATGCAGAGTCAAGACTATGGTAAAGGTGATCAACCTATTACATTTGAATCTAGAAAATTGAATTTTGCTAAATTAAACAATACAACCCATGAAAAGGAACTACTTGCAATAATTCATATTATACATGTTTCCAAAATTGATTTTGGATTTTTGAGGCATTTTGACTTTTTGCGATTTATACAAAATCTATTCTATATATGGAAGTAAAAAAAATACTCAGTTATATGTATCTTTAATCAAAGAATAAATCTGGGTGGTCAAAAAATTTTGGATTTTAAGTAAAATAATTGTCTTCTATAAAAAACTATTTTGATTTTTTTTTCAAAATTACAATTTCGGGATTTCAAAATAATTTTGTGTGCAAGTATAGTTTATACTATTAAACTTTGACATCCATATCTTGAAGAAAAATTATTTACAATTATTATGGATCACAATTAAATCTTTTTAAAAGACAAGCTAGGTGACTTGAAGTTTTACAATCATTCAACTTCAATGTTAAATACTATTCAGAAAAAACAAATGTAGTAGCTGATACATTATTTCAAGTTCCTCAACTTTCAAATATTAATACTTTTAATATCAACCTGATTGACAAAGAACTAATGATTAATGAATATAAGAATGATTCTTACTTTGAACCAATTTATCAAGCATTAATTTTCAAAAAAAAATAAACTTTAAGCATGTAACTTTGAACTTCATAACAAATTAATTTATCTCAAAAGTGAATAATTCCTAATAATAAGGAATTACATATATTTTTGTCATGACTCAATTATTACAAGACATTTGGATACTGAGAAAACTTTGGAATTAATTCAACAAACCTATTTTTGATTAAGAATGGAAAAGATATAATTAAATATGTCACTAGTTGTAACTTATGTCAAAGAAACAAAGCTTCAAACCAAGTACTTGCTGGATTATTAACCCCTAGATATATCATAGTATTAAAGTATTTTCAAATGACTTTAAAGTGCCTGTTAACCTTTTTGAAAATTCAAAACTGTCAACTATTTGTTAAACCTTATATTATTATCAACTATATCTATTGCTGAAAATTTTTTCACTTTAGATTCTAACTACAATGAGATATTTTTTGCTTCAGATTTGAACAACTTGCATCATTCTTCTGTTAAACATGTTACAAAAATTCGTGCTGAGCACAGTATGGTCAAAATTATTGAAATTCCAGAGGAGAGAAAAAGCATTAAAGTAATTGCTACTAAGTATGTACATGGAGATTTTTACATCATAACTTGTGATCAAATCATGGTGCTTACTAACATTTATCTATATAGTATTTCATTTCAGTCTTTTATTAAAGATAATCATTATCAATTTTTACAGTTATTTGTTGATAATGAATATGAATTGTTAGCTATGGTATTGAATTTATATCATATGTGGACTTACGTTATACTTGTTCCTATTGATGTTTCAAGAGTTACTGTTTACAAGAAACAAGGTGTTGAGGTAATTTCCAATTTTGATCAATTCAGTAGTTATTATAATTATTATAATTATGTTAAGGTGGTCGTTAAAGTCAGTTTTTACAAAGTTTAAAAATAGTTCTTTCAATATGATTTGAATGAAAGTGATTATTTTCCTTATGGTTTTTGTTATTTCAATTTCTTTGTTCAGAAGTCTTAAAGAAAAATTTGGAACTATTTAGAGGAATTACAATGTTGTAAACTGATGAATTCCTATTAGGATGGAAAAATATTATTAATTTAACAAAAGATAATTTATGCCTAGTTCAGGAGTGACAACAATGGTATACCAATAAATATCATCATGAACTTACTTTTGAAGAAGGTAATAAAGTTCTAATAAATGTTGTAAATATTAATGATCCTGTACAAGCTAACCATTCAACTCACAAACTTGCCTCTAAATTCATGGGACCATATATAATCAAGAAAGTTATTTTCACAACTATATACTGACTAAAGTTATCTTCTAGTTTGAAAATCCATCCTGTCTTTCATGCATTTATGTTAAAATTCTATAAAGAAAATTTAAACAACTTTAATCATGACATTTCACCACCACCAGAAATTATTCCTGAAACTAATAATGAGAAATATGAAGTTAAAACAATTTCAAACAAGAAATTAGTATATAAAAAACCTTTCTACCTGATTAAATGGAAAGGTTACCTTTTATACAATGTCACATGAGAACTTAAGGAAAACATCATCAATACTATCAATGTAGTAGCAACTTTTGAAAATTCATAAGGATGTTAAATTCTAAGAAGGAAGAAATGTAACAGTTTTTGTTGTTACATTATTTATGCAGTATTTTATATAGTTTACACTTACCTTCTTATTTTATTTTTTATTTATTTCTTTTTATTTTTATTTTTCTATTCTGATAATGAATAATAGCATATGAGATTAGCTTTAGATTTACAATGTAGTAATCCCATATATTAATCATTTCATTTCTATTTTATTTTATTTCTTTTATTTTATTTTATTTATTATATTATTATATGTAGTCATCCAAATTGGTTTTTGTAAAACCTAAGATATTATTTATTATATATTTTGATTATGTAATACTAATTATGTTGTAGAATATTAATTTAGTTTATTTTTATTTTATTATTTATTAATATATTTATTATTTTTATATAATTTATTTATAATTTATATAAATTGTAAATCATGTAACAGGTGGCTTATCAGGTTGATTACCAGGTGGATCATCTAGATAAATTACCTGTTACACATAACAGGTAGATCACCCAGTTGATTATCTCTTGTTAAAATTGGTAAATCATTAATTTGATAGATCGTAACATACAGCAAATTTAAGGAATATTAATATGCTCTTTCTTGACCTTAAAAGAACAGTTTGATAGTTCTAAAGTTTTCAAGAGTTTAAGAAATTAGAACAGAGTTGTTTCTTTTAATTAATACATAATTTACTTCTTTAATATTTACCTTTACTTTTATAATTTCTATTTTTATATTATATTTTATCTTTATATTTATTATTATATTTATTAATAAAGTTATATCATATTAAATATTTTTATTAAATCTTTAATTTACTAATTTGTCACTAATTCTTAATAAAATCTGAGTTAATCTTGTACAAATACTCTTTAATATATACATCTTATTAAGTGAACAAGCTGATTTGATGTGCTAAAACCCTGCACAATAAAGAACTCACCTTGTAATACTCATTTGAAATCATTATTAATTAATTGAATTAAGTTGATCTTAGTGATTCTCAAAAAATTCTGTGAATTATTTGAATAGTTTAAGTTAGTTTAGTTAAAGAATATTAGTTATCCTTCAAATCCTTGTTCACATATTGATATAACAAATTAATACCTCCTGTGAGGTTATGATATTTTATTAAATAGATTTACTTTATATTTGATTGAAATTAACAACAGTTGTTAATTAATTTTCATAATAAATTACATTTATCCAATACCCCTTTCAATCTTTATTTTTCTAATTATTTAAATTCTTCTTGTATTATTTATTATTTCATCCCTAATAATCCTTCAGATCAATTCAATACATTTTGAAATTGGTTCACTTTTATTTCTTCCGCATATCAATTTTCTCGTATAACTACTGAAATATTTGATCAGTATATTCAAAATTTTAATATCCCCATACAAACTAGAATAGTTAATCGACTTTTATCTAATATTAAATTCAGGCAACCAGAAATTTAAGATACTCTTATAAATCAAATAAACAATTATACTCAGTATACACAATTATTCACCCAACATATAGAGGAACTTGAAAACTTTCAAGATCTAGAGAATTATACAACTACAGATTCTAATACTGAAACATCTGATGATGAAGAATTAGATCCAATTAATAACCTAATGAATATGAATAACAGTCAAGCAGAACAACTCCTTAATCTCATTCGAGCTATAGGTAAACATCTTGCAGTTAAAACAATGTTCCTATACCTACATTTAAAGGAGAAAATCAAGACCCTATGGAATAGTTTGAAAAATTTGAACAATATACAACAATAAATCAATATATTAATAAATACAAACTTCAAGTAGTTGAAGAATATCTAGTAAATAAAGCTCAAATATGGTATCAACAAGTTATAAATGATATTACTCGAATTTTTCAATTTTGAAATATTACAAATAATCAAAACTTCAAGATCATATTTTTAATACAATTCCAAACTCAAGAAAAACCCTTACAATGGAAAACTGACCTACAAAATCAAATACAAACAGTAGATAAAAGTATTGATCACTATGTCCAAGATATTAAATGACTAATTAAAAAGATAGATCATCAGGAAAATTGAAGTAAACAAAATAAAATTTATCAGTTCATGAAAGGACTGAGGAGAGAAATTGCTTTTCAAATTTGATCACTTCTATCTTTTCAACATAACACTACTCTTGAACAAATAATTGAGGTTGCCTGACAAATGGATGAAAATAATAAAAATTATCCTGAAGCTTTAATAGAATTTAGAAAAAACTATATAAGTCCTTTATCTATTTTCAAAACTATTCTACTCCACAAAATAATATTGAAGCCGCAGTAACAAAAGCCTTAGTTTCTTTAATACAAGCCTTAAGAAGATTAGCAGTAAATACTTCAAATGTTTTAACACCCCTCCTACCTAAAGAAACAATAATAATACAAATAAACCATAGAATAGACAACCACGCAAAAAATCAACATTCTATAAGTGTGAACAAGTAGAATATATTGTAAGAAGTTGTCCCACGCAACAACTATTTAATTTTTAATAGCCTCCTTCAAATAATCAAAATAATAATATATATGTTACACATTTTTTTGCTCAACAGTATACTGATCGAAAATTGATAAAACATACACATATCGGGTACCCGATATATGCATGGTGTGTCCTTAATATCATGTATATATCGGATACCCGATAAGTATAGAAAATATTTTTTTACACTTATCGGGTACCCGATATAGATATAAAATATTTTTTACACCTATCGGGTACCCGATATGCCCGATATTAGAGATACACCATGCACATATCGGATACCTGATATATATATATTTTATCAATTTTTGACCAGTGAGTTGTGGCAAATGTATCAACCAGTAATGTTACAAGTTTCTCCACAACTACAAGTAAATTCAGTTCCTGTAAACTAACCTGTTCAAAAACAAGCTTCTCAACAAGTCCCAACTCAAACTGTATTAGTAACAATAGACCAAAGAAGAATAGGACAACCTTCTCAACAAACATTCAACCATTTAAACTAAAATGCACACCTCTAAAGGGTAAGTATGCGAAGGATAATATAAACCCTTCATTTACTGAAGAAGATAATTCAAAATAATAATATAAACCCTTCATTTACTGAAGAAGATAATTCAAAATTATCATAGCCATAGATCTATATTGACCAAAGAAATATGGATGATGATGGAAATAATCAGTCTAGTGGTTCTGAAAAATCAAGGAACCAAACAAGATAAAATGTGAAAACTAAATTTGATACTGAGATACAGGATGATGAAAATAAAAAAAAGAAAAGAAAAACATCTAAAGAACCAACTGAAAAATCTCCTATTGTACAAATAACTATACCTTATTCTATTATTTCTGATCTAATATATACTAAAGCTAAAATATCTTTTGAATAACTAATGAGTCTACCACTATTTAAAAATGAAGTAAAAAAAGTAATAACTTCTTGAAGAAAATGAGCTCCCAAGGAAAAGGGAGAGAAAAGAAAAAGAAAAGTAGAAGAGACTAATCTAGAAGAAAGTTCTTTTCACAATACTTCCATGATTTGCAAAGGACAAGTAAAAAGAAGGACTGTTGATATTATTCTTAATAGTAGATCCTCTACCAGTATTATCTCCTAAAAATTCTTAAATACAAGTTACTCAAAAATCTGAATAAATGATAACTGATATCCATGGTAACAAGAAATCCAGTATAGTGAATTCTCTCTAAAGTTATCTCCTGTATAAACACTTTCTTCTTTAAATTACATTTTAACTTGGCCTGATTTTTTTTATAAATAAAATTCCTTTATACAATCACAATATTAGTTATAAGCATAGTCACACCAATTGTCAGTTCCAATGATATATAAATATATAGTAATTTTCTCCTACATAATTACATGAATTTTTATATAAATTCGTAAATATGTATAAGCAGTCACGCAGTTTGTACAGTTCATATATTACATGCAATATTATTTTGACAATAGCAAGATCATCTAGATTATTCATCCATCCTCAAAATACTCAAAATACAAATTGAGTTTGCTTTGCTATTAGTGTGGATATAAAAAAAAAATATATGAATATATGTTAACAAATCCTAATACAAATTAAATTTCAGTTGTATCATTTTTTAATATAAAATATGTTGGATTAAATATTAATAGAATTACTATAAGTAAAATATGAAAAAATTGACAAAAATAATTAACAATACTTTTCAATTCCAATATCTCACAAACATTTCATCAACACCCTGTTCAGTTTCTTGAATTAGATAAAACAATACAAATTTGAACATCCCAAGCAGTAGCAATTGGACTCCTTATATTTGATACAATATTACAACAAAAAGGTTTGGAATTTGTCAAGATGTTAAATATAAAGAATTAATTAAAATAC